GGGGTGAGATGTAACCTGGGCGTGTATCCCCTCGCAAGGCGTACAGGAACACAGACACACAGGAGTCTCTTTTCCTACAGGCGCACAGCTGTAGTTAGTACTCTGCTAGAACCTTGAGCAACAGGCATAGATATATGCAAGTGACACGTGAGACGGTCAGTGAATGCACCTGGATGTGTAACATCAGTGTTTCAACCAGGCACAAATTTAAAAACACGTAAACTGCATAGCCGTGAAGTCGGCAGTCTATATTGCCTGTTATCGCCCAAGCGAATTAAGAGCGGAGTGATTGAGCTACAATGTGACTTGAGAGAACTGTACTTCTCAAACCTGGAGGCAGCTGTTACGAAGCAGAAAAACGCAAACGCAAACGGATCTTCGTTCAAATCTCAGTTTTTGAAAGATGCCCACATGGTCAGTTACCTCTCCAGAAGGAAAGCATACTGCACAAGATATGTGAAGTATAACTCCACATGATGCCAGCAATGGCTGCGTGAGGCAAAAGGAATCGCATATGATGAGTATCTTATCCGAAGATAAGTTTCTCCTGACACTTTGGCAAGATACGGAGGAAGTCCCTTCTCCTGAGAAAAGCATCTCCCTTCAGAAATGAAATAAGGCTCCAGATGGATACCTTCTCCTGAGAGAAGCCTTCCGTGAAACACTCAACTCACTTCAGAGTCAGAACCTAGTCAGTTCTTCCCCTTGTTCTTGCCTTTGGACTTGTCCTTGGACTTGCCCTTTTGAGACTCTTTGCCTTTGGAGGACTTGCCTCCTTTGCTCCCTTCTGTCTTACCACCATGAGGTTGTGCGGGTTCTGGAGGACGTTGAGAACCAGATGAGGTTGCACCGGATGCTCCCTTTCCCTGAGGAAAGCCTGCTCCTTGCGGTGCGTCAGCAGTGGGGTCGGATGTAGATCCACGCTGCTTGTTCATCTTCTGTCTCTCTTTCCTCCTTGCCGCTGCTTCGTGGACTGTATCAGGGTTCCGATTCATCGCCTTGATTCTGCCACCAGTAAACTGATTTGCATGGACCTCCATGAGGAGGGGCGTGTGTGAATCGAGATCCTGATCTCCCAAGAGGTAGGATTCCTTCGTGGAGTTGAGCAACCACTCTGAGACCTGTATCTTGAACTCATTCTTGTGGCAGGAAAATCTGCCCATTGGTCATCAGTCATACTGTGGCCCCACTCCAGAACAGTGGCTGTCATAGGATCCAGACCAGGAAAGGTATTCCAGTCCGGTTTTTGACAGTCCCTGTAGCATCGGCCTCCCAGCTGGTCCTCATACTGTTTGACAAGACACAAACTGCTGGCAGAGACATGTTGTGCTCGAGGGCAACACAAGTGCGGACACGCCGGAGACTCTGAATATGCCTCGAGGAGGTAGTCGAGCAAGGACTGGTACATGCCGCCTCTGATGTCCATCGACTCCTGTTTGCTACCCATGGCTCTGTAGAGTGCCATGTTGGCATCACCACCGATCAGATCGACTTGGTAGTGAAGACAATCTGCAAACATCGTGGCGAGGCATTCATGAGCTATAGAGATCTTCTTGGATGCAACGACGTTGTTCAAGTGGAACGCACAAACTCGCACCCGATCACTACCAGCTCGTTCGAGAGTCCGAGTGTAGGAGCTGTCTGGATATTGTCCTCTGTTTCCCTGACCACCCGTGGGCAAGGTTTTACCATAGATGATCTCGACGATCATGTAGGTAAGTGGCAGATGCGTATGAGCTTCCCCGACCAGTGTCGAGCCTGCTAAGCGCGTAAGACTGCTGCCCACGAGGTTGGTCCGACTTCCTATGAGGATGTCACCAGAGTTGTTCTGGATCGTCTGCCACCCCCTCAATTAGAGGAAGTCTTTCTCGCCCTGTGTCACATTCGTTGCTTCACACAATAAGAAGAGGTGTGATTTACTCTGGGCGATGCTCTTTATCAAAGCTCCCTTCGAGTCGCCGCTGGAATCGTACTCGATATAATCCGGGGCGGAGAACGAGGAAGGAGCTGACTTTTTCCTTCCTCTGACGAAGTTCCCGAGGTTCAGGATGAGAGCAGTGTATTCGGTCTTGGAGGTGTAGATAGGAACAGGCCCTTCTTCTCCGAGACCGTAGCGGAAGAGTTGAGGATTCGACATCTTGTCCAGTGACAAGTCCCCGACCTCATCTTCATCCACACCAGCGCCCAGGAAGAGATGAAGCATAGTGTTCAACAGTTCTTCCCGAGTCGCTGGTCGACCGCTCTCATGAAGTTCTCTCACCTTCCGAAGAAGGTTCTCCTGAACGTCCAGCGCCGCCTCCTGAACATCCGACGCCTTGGCCATGAGCCGGTCATCGAGGGTTCTGCGAACGTCACCTGATCTGAAGACATAGTCATAGCGTCCAGGCCGACGATCATAGATGGGCAACATTTTGCAGACCTGCTTGAAGAGCGCGGTCTCAGGAAGGTGGAACTTTTGGTGAGCATGCGGCGGAGCTGCCACGCGCCAACCCATGTGTTGCACCTTGAAGAAGCCCACAGGATCAACCTCGATGTCGCGGATGCCGGTGTGGAAAAAGCCCGTGTAGCTGTAGCTATTGCGTTGATCCTTCAGCATAACCAAAGGGCTTTTACGTTCGAGTCGGTAGCCATCCCTGATGAACTCCTTGTACTCGTCGGTATCCACAAGACCCTTCTTGTCATTGGACTTCTCGAGATTCTCGAAAGCGTCCTCGTTCTGGGCCTCAGCATCCTTGGTGGCTTTATAGGCCTCCGGGTCAGCGACGGTCTTACATTTCCCCCAGATTCCTTGATCGTGAAGTTCACCTTCATCCGCGGTGTGGGGAGAAATGTCGGGCATGGCTTCCTCTTCTTGTGGAGAGCTTGCCTTGTCCGTTGTCTCGTCATTGACCTCCTCCGTGGCACCCATGTGCTCGTCCTTAGACTCCGATTCCTCTCCCAGTGGAGAGCCTTCGGCGTGCTCAACCTTTACTCCAGATACCTCTTCCTGTGGAGAGCCTTCTGGAGCTTCGGTCTTCATTGGCACATCAGGTGTCTCGACTGTTGAGTCAGCCGTCTCGCCCGGTGGCGAGTGCGCTGGCTCTGCAGTGGCTTCGGAGGCGTCCATCGGAGTGTTCTTCTCGATCTCGAGGATTTCCTCCACCTGCGGACTGGGAAGCTTTTCGAGGAACTCCTCCACAGCGATGTCCTCATAGGGCCGTGTGTAGAGCTCCTCCAGTTCAGCTTCCCGCTTGGCCTTGAGGTCCAGATAGGCACGAAGATCAGACTTAGCCTTTCGCGCGAAACGAGACTTAAAGTCCTTCTCTTCTTTCTCCTTAAGGACTCGGTCGGCACAAGCAAGGATATAGGCCCCGTTGAAAGGTTGACGCAAGGTCGAGTCATAGAGCCCGTATCCCTCAGGTGTTCGAACCATGTATTTACGGCGGATTTCCTCGTTCTGAGAGTTCTTCTGGATATAGGAGAAGAAGTCCGGCCCGTAAGATTCAGCGACGATCGTCACCAGCAAGGAGAAGTCATCCCGAACATGAGAAACCTCATTGTACACGTCCCTTTCAAAGTTGAAAGCCTCGTGTGCCTCGAGTTTCTGCGAGTAGTCAGGATCATCGGCCTTAGGTTTCCTTTCCCTCGGGTCGCCCGGTGAAGGAGGACGGAAACCGATCTCATTGATCAAAGGCCGGAACTCCATAGTGGCGGCTCTGGAGATGTCGTCCATCATCTTTGGAAGGCCACCTGGGTGCCGAGTGGAGTACTTCTCGTAGGGTGACTTGTATCCTCCGGTGTACACCCTCGGCTTGTGACTCATCTCCACCAAATAGTTGCCCTGCAACTTGCCCAGTTCAAAGGCTTTCAGAAAGAAGTGGAGAGAATAGCCGGAAAGTGGATGAGACATCCAGCTTGCCCAGTTGTATTCTCCACCCAGGAGCGTCCGCATCTCCTTCGAGAGTGTATGCCAGGGTGTCACCTTCACCAACGGATCATCGAAGGTGCTGAACATACGCTGACCACTCCCGTCTGTTCGATGCAGAACACCATGAGCAAAGAGATGCCATGGGTTTGTCCTGGCCTTTCGAAGAACTTCATTCAGCTCTTCTTGTTGCTGGGACTTATGCGCATCCACCTTTCCATGCACGGTGTCACCAGGCTGATACGCATATCGAGTTGACCCCTCGGAATGAGTGGTGGCTTGGCGCCGCTCGCGGTCCTCTCTCAACTCATTTTCACGAATGAGTTTTCTGAGAGCCTCCGCGTCCAATGTGGGTACTTCTCCACGTGGAGAGCCTCCCGCATCAGGTGAGGCGTCCTGGGCCGTCTTTGGTCTCTTCTTGGGAGCTGGCCGCGCCTTAGGATCCACATTGCTACCCGGTACCTCTCCCTGAGGAGAGCCTCCGGAAGCTGAGGCAGAAGCGGTGGCTGAGGTTCCCTCTTCATGTGAAGAGCCTACCCCTGCCGCATTCTGTTCCCTCTCGTGGCGGAGACCGCCCGGATCCTTCTCATGAGGTGGCCTGTAGTGGAACGTCAAGTACATGGGCGCAATGCTCTGATACGCCAGAACCACGCCATTGTCTGTAACACTGTAAGATACAGTTCGTGGCCGTGATTGAGGTAGCTTTCGTAGTCGAGATTGCAGTAAAAGACATACGGCCCATACTTGACGACTGTCCCCGGCCCCGGAGACGTCACTCCGCCTGCATAGACGAAGTGAACTGCCAGCCGGTGCCGTTGCCACGAGGCGCGAGTTGCCTCCAAGACGAGGCCCTTCTCACGAATACCCTCATAGTTGGCGTTGTCCGTGGCATGAAAAATCATGCCCAGCTTGCGACACCGCTCGATTGACAGTCTCTCACCTCGGGAGATCTCGGACACCTGTTCGGGGACTCTGGTATGCCCCTGAGTGGCGCTGATACTGATGTGGAAGTCCCAGTCGAAGAAACGACCAAAAGTCAGTGCCACGGGAGCAACCCAGATGTTGAAGCGGCCCTTTGAGTTGGCCATCAGGAAGCTGAAAAACTTCCGTGGGTGCCAGTCATAGGGCTTCACACTGGTACGTTGGAATCCCTCCAGGCTGTCTTGAGTTATCGGAGAGCATTGAATACTCTTCTGATGAGGGAAGAACCGGTAATGCCTCTGAGTTACGTTCTGATCGCAGACATTATAAAGCACAAAGAGTTCCATCTTCAAAGTCCTCAAAGATATCTTCAAACAAGAAACCTTGTCTGAGATCCGACCTGTGATTGCTTAACAAACATTGAGATAGGAGAACAGCAAGGCGAGGATCAAGAGTCCCTTCCGAAGAATAGCCTTCTCCAAGCGACTCTAATCGATCCAAAGATCCTTCAGGCGCATTGGTGAGAAAGGATATCTCCCCGTGCTGCTGTTCCCCCTTGTTCTTGAAAGTGCAAAAGGTCATGCTGCGTCTCCACTTCAATGAGCGACTGCTCTGAGAGCGCCAAAAGCCAGAATGAGCAGAGTACATGATGGTCACAAAGTACCCATCACCTCTGTCATCCTGCCAGCGAGTCACTTCAGCGCAGAAATGCCAGAAGGCATTTGCTGCTTTCTTTGTCCACTGTGTAGGAATGACAGGATGAATGATAATGTGATTCGGCTCTGCCGCTAAGATCACCTGCCATGCTGACTCAATCGAAGATTGAATCTTCTTGGCTGACCATTCACCAAACAAAACAGGTTCACTCGCCACCAGTCCAGAATGACACGTGCACGCAGTGAGACCCGTAAGCTGTGGCGTGATCTCAACGAAATCGCTCTTGCCAGAAGTGAGAGAATGGAAGCAAATTTCATGTTCATAACAGAACCTTGAACTTGCTTGTTCGAGAAGCCTATCACCGATTCGCTCGAGTGCCTCCTCCTGAGAGGAGCGTCTCGGAGCGTCCTCGCGTACCTCTTCAGGAGAAGAGCCTCGCGGTTCAGCAGGCTTAAGAGGAATTGCCACATCATGCCATGGGTCTCCATCACGGCGAACCTTCGACTGATTGACTCGAAGTACCGAACGATGAACTTCAACCAACACCATGGCTCCTTCCTGAGATATGACAGTTCCTCTGACCCAAACACCTTCCGACTTCTTCTTAGACTCATCCTTATGCCAGACAAACACACGATTTCCCTTCTGATAAGGACCATCCGATGGCATGACACGTCTTGCCAGATCCTTCCGAAGGTCAATCGACTGCCGGGCTTCTTGATGAGCACGCATGGCAATCCTCTGAAGATCGAGAGTGGTTCGATCCTCCTCGGGTGGATTAGCAGAGAGCTGTTCGGGCGTACTCGTCTCAACATCAAACAGATCCGGTGGCCGTCGTCCGGTAGCTATCTCCAAAGGAGAATAGCCTGAGACGGTCAATTGGCAATTTCTTGCCCAAGCCACCTTCTTCACTGCCTGACGGACAGTAACCCTCTCTGCATACCCTTCATCGGCCAAAGCCTTAGCCATGATGGACCACGTACGCTTGAACAACCGCACAGCGGTCTCGGCTCGATTCGGCCAAGGAGTCCGAGGTCCACAAGGATATGGAGTAATGCCATGGAACTTATAATAGGACATGAACTGTGGTGTGAAAAATGCTTGATCACCTACAATTCCTTTCGGAACGCAGTTGTTCTCCTCTGTCCACTGACGGAATGCTCCTAGAGTCTCAGGCGCTTCCAAATTGGTGAGAGCCGTAGCCCACAGGAGATTTGAGGCACCATCAATGATGACTAAGGCAAGATATGCCTTAGTACCGAACTTGATCTCTTCGTGATCAACGAAGATCAGATCACCGAATGATGATGCTCGCAATCCTGCGATTCTGGCTCGCGGAGGCGTAGGCACGGAAGTGCTGCAAACACGACAGCCCTTGACAATTCTGTCGTACTTGTCGTAGATCTCACCTGGCAGTCCGAGCATGCTGGTCCTTCGCCGAAACTGTGCAGGGCTCATGTGGTAATGCTTCACATGCAGCTTGTAAAGCTCTACATCGTTGTTCAGCTTTTCCAACATGCGCTGATACTGCGGAGAGGCCCTTGAGACCTCCTGGCCAGGCAATGGAAGCGCAATCCTCCTAGGTTCTAGCGACGAGACCTCTGGCTCTTCCGGCAGGGAAGGTTCGTACTCTTGAAGATCCGGATCATCTTCAGGAGCAAGGGGAGCTACAGCGACCTTAGGTGCCGGTCCATGAGGACCGCGTCCCTTAGTGCGAACTCTCCTTCTCGCCGGTACCTCTCCTGGTGGAGAGCTTCCGGATGCTCCTGTTCTTGCTGAGCTGTCTCCAGGCTTACCTTTGCTAAGTTCTTCATCTGGAGATCCCACTTTACGGCGAGTAGGATCCCTTGTCTTAGCCGGTACTGAGGCTCTATTCTCAATACCACCAGGCAAAATCTGGAATACTGTCCTACCCTTCCAAGGCTCAGTGACCTTTGATGTAGGAGGCTCAGAAGAACGCCAGTCATCTTCATGAGTAACATTCTTTCCCTTAGAGAACTCGATGATCGTCTTGCGCTTATTGTCCAGGTACTCCAAAGGAATTGGCACTGCTCCTTCCTTGGGCTCGTACCTTGTTCTCCTTGTCTTCTTGTGGAGACGAATCAACTCCATGCTAGCTTCATCAATCACCCACTCATCATCCATCGCAAAGGCGAAAACCTCGGGTTCCTCCTCCGGTGAAGAGCTTCCCAGCGTCTTTTGATGGAATCCATACTCGTAATGGGAGAAGTAGGTGAGGAAGCTAGACTTCTTGTGCTTGTCGAAACGTACATTCCACATCAAACGACTGAGATCAAGGAGATCAAGTACTAGGTGTGAGCTAGGTGCAACCTTAAGCTTCACATCCCAGATGCCCAGTACAGGACTGCTAATCAAAGCCTTGTCCGGATGGAGCTCGAACTGGAACCTCAAGTTGCGCATCTGAGGCAAGGACATAAGGATCGGAACGTGTCCCTGCTCCACAATGTCAAGCTCAGTCGACTGAACTGCGTACTCTCGGTCGTACATGCAAATGACCAACTTCTGCTGGCACTTCGTCGACTCGGAGTTGGCAAAGGTGAACTGAGATGTGGTCTCAGCGATGGCGTACCAAATGCCACAGTTCAGATTGTCATCGCAGAACTTCATCAGGTCCTGCGCAGCCACCCGGGAAGCCATCGCTCTCGTACATCCCAAATCCAACACCATCGCGGTCGGCGTTAAGGGCTGAGAGATGAAGGCTTCCTCCGTCTTGTCCTCGGTGGCCATGAAGGAAAAGTTCAAGGGGTTGATGTACTCGGCAAAGAAGGTTGTAGCAGCAGTAGTACTGCTAGGAACGGCCTCGGCAAGTTGGGAATGTCCATCCTTTCCGGACTTCCCGTCTTTTCCATCTTTGCTGAACTTGCCTTTGCCTTTTCCCTTCTTTCCTTTCTTTCCTTTTCCCTTTGCGGCATATGACTCCTCGGACTCGTACCAGGACCAGTCATCCCAATACTGATCTTGCCATTGACTGTCCTGCCATTGTCCGTCTGTCGTTTGCCACGCGTCGGGATTGTCATCGGCAAGGTTTGACCTGCCTTTCTTCCTTTTGAAGAAGCGCTTCCCTGAGGATCCCTTGCCACCTTTGCCTTTTCCTTTTCGGCGGCCTTTGAATCCGCGCTTCATTCTGCGGCCTTGGAAACGCCGCTGAAACCATGAGTAGTTCTCCTCGTCGTAGATCCAGAAGGCGTCCTCATCTGCTTCAAGGAACCCTTCTGCTCCATCGTCCTCGTCCTCGACCCAGTAGCCCTCAGAACCATCCAGATGTCCTTCTTCAATCACCAGGAACGTCTTGCGGCCACCGTGTCCAGAAGGGGCGAGGAGAGGATTGTCGACGGTAGTCTTGGTCGTGCAGAAGATCTCGAGGTAGACTTCACGCAATTCGGCGGTATTGTAGTCAGCGAGTACCCGGTTCCGATGTGCCATCAGCGAGGTCAACACCTGTCTCTGATCCTGCGTGAGGTCACTCAGTGAGACAAAGATGAGAGCCACGAGGTTTGGCGTAATCGGAATCGTCCGGGCATGCTGGTCCTTGAGCCTATTGTTGGCCCTCTCCATCGCCTGTTCTGGCGTGAGTTCTGCCTGTTCTTCTTCTGGAAGTCCAGTAACGAAAGCTCTGACCTCAGCATTGTTTGGGTCCGTGATCGGGATGTAAGTGTCATTCCACGCTTCCTGCATTCTGTTAACAGAGAGCTGAAACCTGGTAATCCAACGAAGCATGTCTCCATTCCCACGGTGCATGTTCATGAACTGCTGGAAGCGGTAGAGGAAAACGTTCGCTGCTCCCTTCACGAAGAGCGGCCGCAGGAAGCTCTTGAAGTACTTCACTCCGTTGGTTGGATCCTTCAGGCGATCTCTGTCCAGAAGCCTCTTGTGGATTGCAGCTTCACCTTCAAGACGGTTTCTCAATGCCGGTCCACGCTTGTCAGCATCTAGCTCAGTGATGTCACACCAGTCATCGATCGCATCCTCATAGGCGAACCAACTGCTTCGTCCATCATAAGATGGCGGTACCTTCGTGGTCACCTGCTGGAAAGCTGAGAGACGGTGTAATTCATTGAGATGACGATGATTCGTCGCGTAAGATTCGCTGCCATGAAGAAGGTAATCATCTTCTCCTTCACCAAGCTCAAAAGTCGTCGCAGATTGGCTAGCCATTGCGCTATCCACGGATCGAGCCCCGGGAGAATTCTCTTCCGGATATCTTCACCTGCGTGAAGTGTGCCGGAGAGACTCCGGTCACCTTCACCTGTGTGAAGCACACCGGGTTTCCCGGGAGCTCCGCTACCACGTTGAGATGTAACCTGGGCGTGTATCCCCTCGCAAGGCGTACAGGAACACAGACACACAGGAGTCTCTTTTCCTACAGGCGGCGCACAGCTGTAGTCAGTACTCTGCTAGAACCTTGAGCAACAGGCATAGATACATGCAAGTGATACGTGAGACAGTAAATGCACCTGGATGTGTAAC